TAGATGTTTTGACATACCTCCCTAAAAAAAAGCAAAGAATAACAGTATTGCCTTTGTTTCTGAAGTTTTTAAACGGCTAATATGAGTTTCAAAGATTTGTGTGATGTAAGAATAATACCCAACTTCTCTAATTTTAGCGCATAGTGTAGTGAGCACCAATTGCATCATTCACGGTTCACTTTGTTCCCTAACAGATTTTGAAAAAATGGCTTGTGCAGCCGACAGCTGCATCCAATTCACGCGTCATGCAAGTGATGTTCTGCTCAACCTGAACCGACTGCGTAGCAGAGATATCTTTACAGATGTCATGATTCTGGTCAACAGACAACAGTTTCGAGCACACAAAACGGTCCTTATGGCATGCAGGTGCAATTAAAGATTATTTGGATTTGTTACATGCTTTCTTTTAGTGGAAATACGTTAATTTGAGACCCCAAAAGCTTACTAAAAATCATAATTTCTCCACAGTGGGCTCTTCTACTCGATCTTTACTGATTCCCACAAATGTAACCTGAACGCCATCAGTCTGGACCCGAAGGTCGACCCAGAGGGTTTTGCAATCCTTCTGGAGTTCATGTACACTTCACGTCTCACACTGAAGGAGAGCCTCATCATGGCCATCATGAACACGGCAATCTATTTACAGATGGACCACGTTGTTGACACCTGCCACAGATTCATAAAGTCCAGGTATTTTTTCCTTTTGTTCATAAATGACACCTTAGTTCTTAATTATAAAACATAATTTGAATATGCTATACTTGAATGATAGAAAGCAGACGTTCTTTAATTTGCTTCATATTTCCATGCAGTGACTCCTCTATCAAACTACCCAGAGAGGACTTTCTCGTCAGCCCCCTGCTTTTACCTCAAGACGTTCACAGTTACAGACCCCATGAGGTGATGGAAAACGTTCCTGGACGGTCAGCGACTTTCAGAGATGGGAGACCCTATGGTGTCTGCATGTTTAACGGGGTCAACACTCCTAACAGCTCATACCTTTACAGCCAGTTTCCAATGCAAGGTTTTCCCTTTCCTCTTTGCAAGCTGACAGACACCAAAAACACTTTCTCAGACTTCTCAAAGGGAGGCATCATCCATTACAAACACTGCTCGCCGGCTGATGGCAACAACCCCATCCTGGCCGACTTCACCCGCAGCGCCACCGGTGGGAGCTCAACCGCTTGCCATGCCGGCTCATACTCCTCGAGAGAG